ACACACGCAGGGAAATTGTTGTACAAATATGTTATAACACATAGATACCCATAGATATTTGGAGGGAGAGAGAGAGGGGTATTGGAAGCTCAACATCACAATCTATTTCCATATTCTAAAATGAGTTACGTTTAAATGTTGCTGTTCATTTATTTATTTGTTACCAAATTCCTGAGGGCGAAACAAACTGTGGAATGTGTCATCTGTTCAATTTATGAGAACAACCACTAAGTGACATTCATATGAAGTGACTATTTGCAATGGCATAAAAATAAATTATTTTTCTTTTTTGTTACAGGACAAGGGAAGATATGTCCATATTTTAAAATCGAAATGCTACATTTTTAGAAGGGGAAAATTAAATAGAACCCTTTTGTAGGTTTTTATTGGTAATTGCTTAATTAAGATTTTTTAAGGCATTTTTAACTTTATTTGAGTTTTTTAAACTTTTTAAATTTAAATATCAATGAACTCATTAGAACTTCACACGTGTCTTATTAATTACAAGACAGGACACGAGTTTTTAATTGGGATAGGTAAACTGATTTCGAGTTTCAATTTTTATATTTCTGAAAATCGATTCAGATTTAGATATAGCTCCCATATACATTTCCGATTTAAGGTGAATGGTGCACCAACGTCCCTTAATATCTTTCCATATATATGTTCGTCCTATTAAATGTATATAGTGCACCAAAGTCCCTATATATCATTCGATTTGCACGACATTTGGCTCAGCGTAATGAATTAGGTCTAGAATTATGTTTTTAAGTTTTCTGAAAATCGGTTCAGATTTAGATATAGCTCCCATATACATTTTCGTCCGATTTAATGTAAATGGTACACCAACGTCCTTAAGGGAACCCCCCCCCCCATTCCGATTTTAAATTTTCAAGATTTTCAATGGGCTTTTATATGAATACAAATGCTTGTAAAGGTTTGTAACTTTGTACATATATAATTGAAGATTTTAATAATTTACAAAAAAATTTTGTTGTTGTTTTGTTGTTGTTTTTTGTAATTAAAGAAAAGACCTTATTTTTGATGGCGGGCATGATAACTCTTCACTGGAACATCGGAATCTGAAAATTCCCACCGTGTTAGAAAGAGTACATGTCTTGCTCTCGTATGAACTAGGATTATTGACTTCGCTCTAAAATGAACAAAATGGTGGACCTTTGAAAAAATATTTTTGGAAAATCGCCAATTTTTTACCAAAACCAAAGTTAAAAAATAAGGAAGATCTTCACCGATTGGCTTTATCCTAGTTCATACGATAGCTATACACTCACAGAGAAACGTGTAAAAATTTGAAATCGATTGGGTTTTTAGTTTTTGAGTTATCGTGCCCGCCATTCACAAAAAAATGTTTAGAGAAAAACGCGTTTAACACTAGATTGCCGAGAGCAGTCATTTTGACGGTTTTTAAATTTCAAGTACAAAAACAATTGTGTATATTATGACTCAGCTTTTTAAAATTTGGTGACTTTTTCTACCACATAGAACTACGTTTATTAATCATAGTAGCTGCTTCCTGCCCTCTTTCATTCCCCGTATTCACATGTGCTATACCTAAATAGCCTAAAAGCGGTCATTTTGACCTTTTTGAAATATTAAATAATCAAACTACTTTTATTACTGTATAAAGTAAATTTCTTATATGACCAGATCGGTACAACAACATCGAAACCCGTTTGCTACTCTAGAAACACATACGAACACACAAATCGGGAAAAATTAAATTTATATTTCCAGTCGATTTCACTCTTAGAGTAAAGTCTTCCTCTTTTTTCGAACGTTTTGTCCGCGCTCTTATTTTTCAAAAGGGGACACCCGAGAGCCCTACCACCGAAAACAAATAATAACAACGTTTTGTATGATTATAAATAATGTAACAAATATTAAAAAAATAGTTTAAAAAAATTTCTTTACACAATAAAAAATTTTTCAGAATGAAGTCATTTTGACCGATTTTAGGCAATATAGGTATATACAAAATTCCCGTCTTTCTAGTGTTAAAGTTTGAGAAGCCCTTCAGCCGTCACTTGATGCTGACACAATAAATCGGCTATATTTTCAAGAGTTCTTGAGATTTTCATTTGAAAATTTGTAGGGACACTCTTTAATTAGTGTAGATTCGAATTATATCAACAAAATTTTTGACCCCGAGAATGGGGGGGGGTCCCCTTAAGTCTAGAACCATGTTTTTTAAATTTCGTGAAATTCGGTTCAGATTAGATATAGCTCCCATATATATTTCCGTCATATTTTTTTGTAAATGGTGCACCAAAGTCCCTATATATCCTTCCATTTGCACGAAATTTGGATTTATAAGTAAATGAAGAACTCACAATGTGGCCGAACATATGACAAGTTTTTATGAAATCGGTATAGATTTCGATATTTTGCTTTAAATTTATTTACATAATTTTGTCCCATAGTAAGAAGCAATTCTATATCTGACCAATATTTAGTATAGGCTGCAGAATGACATGTTTAATTTCATGTTAATGGTCCTTCAAAAATGCGACGTCTGTTAGGATTCCATCTGTTGAATATACCCAAAGTGATGAAGGGTATTATATAGTCGGCCCCGTTTGACGTTACTACTTTCCTTACTGTTTTTTTTAGAAGTGTTTTCCCAGTTGCTAATTTTTATTCAAAAGAATTTTCTGGGTATCTTTCGTCCATGCTAATATTAACATTATCAGAATTTCAAGTTTAACTTTGACTGTTTGCAACACCTCGAAACATTCACCAGAGAACCCATAAATAAGTCAGATTAGACGTTTATGTCTGTCTGGAGAGATATCGAAATACAGGAGAAAGATCGAAACATTTATGTAAAACTAGAAAATTTGCAAATATTGTTGGGTATTGAATTTGGGGTATATCGGTTCAAGTTTTATTAAATACGCCATACAACTGTACATACAAATATTATCTAATCTGGGGTAGGGCCCATATAACGGCACCACTCAAGCTTCGATGTTTTGTTAGAGTTGGACAAGTTTTTCAACCAAGACGGCTACAATTTCGTATTTTGGATTCTCAATTTTTATACTATCTTTCTATCGTTCAGAATTTTAGTCAATGTTTTCAATTGGTTCTCATTGGGCGTCAAATTTTGCTACAAACCCCTATTTATATTGGTCTCCATTTGGTTATAGTTCCCAAGATACATTTTTAACCGAGTTCTCTATCATTTGTTATTTTGAGGTAGTTATATGAGCGAATTGCTATAATCCGTATATAAGCGAAGTTCTTCTACATCAGTCTCATTTGCGCCCATGCCCCGACCGAACATACCAAAGACATATTTTACGAACGCCTAGAAACAGCATATGATCGTTGCCCTGGCCATGACATTAAAATTCTGCTAGGAGATTTTAATGCAAATATCGGAAGGGAAAATATCTTTGGCCCCACCGTCAGCCTCCATGAAGAAACATTACACAATGGGAATTAGGATGATTGACTTCGCGGCAGCAAAAAAACAAGGTAATTAGCAGCACCAGATTCAAGCATCTCGATATACACAAAGCCACTTGGATTTCTCCCGATCGAACAACGAGAAATCAAATCGATAATGTTGTGATAGACGGAAGGCAGTGTTCTAGACGTCCCATCGATCCGGGGAGCGAATATCGATTCGGACCATTACCTTGTGATTTTATATACCTTGGTACCGCCATAAACAAAACGAATGACATCAGTTTTGAAATTCGGAGAAGGATAGTGATGGCCAACGGATGCTACTTTGGTCTGAGCAAACAATTCAAAAGCAAGGCCACATCCCGTCAGACCAAACTCACACTCTACAAGACGCTGATACTACCCGTGCTGCTATACGGATCTGAAGCATGGGTACTAACGCAAGCAGACGAGGTAGCTCTTGGAGTGTTTGATAGAAAAATTCTTCGGAAGATCTATGGGCCGATCTGCGTTGACGGTGAATATCGCCGTCGAATAAACCATGAGTTGTACCAGCTATTCTCGGACGTCGACATTGTTAGACGTATTGAGCTGCAGCGACTACGTTGGCTAGGTCATGTTGTGAGAATGGAAGAAGATGCCCCAACCCAGAAGGCATATAAAAGCGAACCAGCTGATGGTTCACGCAAAAGGGGAAGGCCAAGAATACGTTGGAAAGATCAAGTTGAAGACAACATCGCCGAAAATGGTCTTTCAAATTGAAAAAACTGCGCCAAAGACCGACGCGCCTGGAAATCTTTTCTAAGCTCGGCTTATGAACGAAAGTTCTGTCACAAGCCAGATAAGTAAGTAGGTACTGAATAAAGTCTAGAATGATGTGTGTTAAGTTTCGTAAAATTCGGTTCAGATTTAGATATAGCTCCCATATGTATTTTCGTCCGATTTAAGGTAACTGGTGTACCAAAGTCCCAATATATCATTCGATTTGTACAAAATTTGGCACAGTTGTGTCTAGAATGATGTGTGTTAAGTTTCTTGAAAATTGGACCAAAGTTAGATATAGTTCACATATATATTTTCGTCCGATTCGTAAATAGTGCACTAAAGTCCACATATATTTTTCGTACTAAACTTAATATAACCTAGAAGTTAGATATAAATGCTGCACCAAACTCCCCAGGTGAGTCCGATTGACACAAAATTTTGCACAACTTATTGTAGTTATTATAACAAAATGAAAATAATTAGTATAGTTTGCAGAGTTACATATTTATGAATCCAATTTCATTTTACTGGTCCTTTAAAATGCGACGTCTGTTAGCATTCATCTCTTGAATATACCCAAAGTGGTAAAGAGTATCATATAATCGGCCTCGTCCGACTTTACTACTTTCCTTACTGGTTTTTATTGATATTCTTTATAGAAGAATAAAGTTCGGGGTTACTCTAATTATATGTCTCTGAGCCTAAAAATTCTCGATAATATTTCAGACATGTAATTTCTTTTGTATATTTTATTAAATTTGTTTTATATATTGAATTATTTGTATTGTATTACATTTAGATCATTTCACATATACTGTCTTGAGTAAGGTAAAAAATTTGTAAGATGCTTGTATCACCTGAAAAGAGAGTTAGGAGAATAATTAAAAAAATTATAAATATAGCAGATTTTATTACCTGTGTCATTGTTCCTCGAGATATTGGTATCAGTATCTGAGGTGTCTTCCTTTTTTTCTATAGAAAAATGCATCAGGCCCACCTAAGGTGTCTTTCTTTATAGAAACCAGTAAGGAAAGTAATAAAGTCGGACGGGGCCGACTATATTATACCCTTCACCACTTTGGGTATATTCAACAGATGGAATCCTAACAGACGTCGCATTTTTGAAGGACCATTGACATGAAACTAAATATGTCATTCTGCAACCTATACTAAATTTTGGTCAGATATAGAGTTGCTTCTTAAAATGGGACAAAATTATATAAATAATTTTAAAGCAAAATATCGAAATCTAAACCGATTTCATCGAAACTTGTCACATGTTAGGTTACACTTATATCAGTATGTTTTGAGCATCCGGCACTATTTTGAGTTCTTCATTTACTTATAAATCCAAACTTCGTGCAAATCGGGGGATATACAGGAACTTTGGTGCACCATTTAATAAAATCGATCGAAAATATATCTGGGAGCTATATCTAAATCTGAACCGATTTTCACGAAATTTAATACACCTCTTTCTAGACTTAATTCAGTACGCTGTGCCAAATTTCGTGCAAATCGAAGGATATATAGGGACTTTTGTGCACCATTTACATAAAATCCGACGAGAATATATATGGGAGCTATATCTAAATCTGAACCGATTTTCATGAAATTTAGCACACATCATTCTAGACCTTATTGAGTAGGCTATACCAAATTTCGTGCAAATCGAAAGGTATATAGGGACTTTGTCACACAATTTACATAAAATCGGACGAAAATATATATGGGAGCTATATCTAACTCTGAACCGATTTTCACGAAACTTGGCACACATCATTCTAGACCTAGTTCAGTAGGCTGTACCAAATTTCGTGCAAATCGGAAGATACTAAGGGACTTTGGTACCTCAGTTACCTAAAATCGGGCGAAACTATATATGGGAGCTATATCTAAATCTGAACCGATTTTCACGAAACTTGGCACACATCATTCTAGACCTAGTTCAGTGGGCTGTACCAAATTTCGTGCAAATCGGAAGATATTAAGGGACTTTGGTACCTCAGTTACCTAAAATCGGGCGAAACTATATATGGGAGTTATATCTAAATCTGAACCGATTTTCACGAAACTTGGCACACATCATTCTAGACCTTATTCAGTAGGCTGTACCAAATTTCGTGCAAATCGAAAGATATTTAGGGATTTTGGTACCTCATTTACCTTAAATCGGACGAAAATATATATGGGAGCTATATCTAAATCTGAACCGATTTTTCCCAATTTCAATAGGGTTCGTCCTTGGACCAAACAAATGAGCTGTGCCAAATTTCATCCAATTCGGATCATAAATGCGACCTGTACTCTGTTTACAATTTAACATGGACAGACGGACTGACGGACGGACGGACATGCATAAATCGACTTAGAAAGTGATTCTATGCATATTCTCAAAAGGAACCATGGGTCTATCTCGATTATTTTTGCCTGTTACAAACATATGCACAAAGACATAATACCCTGTACCACAGTGTGGTGAAGGGTATAAAAATCCTCGGCTCACATGAGTTGCCTTTTTGCTACAGAAAAATGCATCAGGCCCACCTGAGTTGTTTTTTTTTCTATAAGAAAAAAATTCCTCAGGCCTCCCTGAGGTGTTGGTTTTATACTCACCGCATCTGTCAACTGCTGTCCATAATGGCAAATTAGAAAGCCCTGCGTCAGCATAAGAATTAAAAAGGAAATCAATTTCAGCAAATTCAATGCGGATGCACCAATTGACATTTGAAAACCCAAAAAGCAGATCACCATAACCGAGGTAGAGATATTTACAAATAAAGATATTCCAAATATGTCATTGATACGTTCCGATAATCTGTAAAAACCAAACTTATAAAATTCTATAAACAAAATTTACAAATGGTGTACCCGCACTTACTCCAATATAAGACAATGGCGATGAATTATCCTTTTCAAAAATTCCACATCTCTAGCCATCGTTTTCTCCTCCGACTTTTCATGGCAATGGATGTTCAACTGATAATTGGAAATTTTCCTTGCCATGTGCTCAAAATGCATTGTGAGTTGACCGACAAAAGCAAATAACAACAAATCCGTGGCAAATTGAGCTATCACCGAGGTATGGCCGGCCCAACATTGAAACCCATACAGCACATAGTACGACCAATGATTATCCGTCCAATCCCATGGAGAATACATAAAGTACGGCAAATGAGGTTTAGCATTTGCATTTTCTTCGAATTTCCAAACAATCAACCAATGAAAAATTGCTTCGAAATTAAATAACAATAAAATAACCAAACACATTGTCGAAAACATAATGGAGAAAAATTTACACTCCTTTAGATATTTCCGAACATTATATGCACTTTGCACTGCTGCCGAATTTACGGGGAATATATTTTTCAGCTCCCTGGCAAACGAAGTGAGATGAGATTTTTTCATAGTCAATATGTAAGTTTTAAAGCTTCCCAATGACACATAACCAATATAGCATAATGCCATAATTAAGTCGAGAAAATCGTGTTGACCATTTGCCGATTCCACAAATCAAATTTAAATAATTTAACCAAAATAACACATTTAAGAGGTGTTTTTTTAGAGGTGTTGTATTTTCTTTCTCATAGGCCACTAAACCTATTGTGGCATTTAACAGATTGCCGTGACTAACGAAATCTTCAAAATTTATTAATTTGGACATGGTATGGTTTGTTTGTATAATACTGAACTGTACTACTGAACAAATAGTTGAAGACTAGCTAAATGTACGGTACAGGGATAAAAAGACACCCCTTTGACTATGGTGACCAAAAAAGTTTCAAAATAATTATCAAGAGTTTTATTGGAAGTTTTAATAAAGTGTTTCAAAAATGAAAAAAGCTAATGGAAAAAAAGAGTAAGGAAAGTAGTAAAGTCGGACTGGGCCGACTATATGATACCCTTTACCACTTTGGGGATATTCTACATATGTATCCTAACAGACGTCGTCTTTTCTAAGGAACATTGACATGAAATTGAACGAACTTATATATGCGATCTTTATCTATAAGTAAACCGACTAACATCAATTCCAACACATGCCATTCTGCAACCTATTCTAAATTTTGTAAAAAGATTTAAAGCACACGCACTACTTAAAATGTATCAATCAGGCACCCATTGATTGTACAGTCAACATGAATAAGTCGAAATTATATATGGAAGCTAATCTGAACCGATTTCAAGGAAATTTGCTAGATATTAATTTTTATTAATTTCTGTACGTGTATGGGTCTGTATGGGCCTTTAGTGTACCATTTACTTAAAATCGGACGAAAGTATATATAGAAGGTATATGTAAATCTGAACCAATTGCAAGAAACCTTGACACGAAAGGTTATAGTAACAGTACATTGTACAAAATTGTGTGCCAATCTTTGGGTCTTTAGTGCACAATTTAAATTAAATCGGTGTAAAAGATATATTGAAGCTATATCTACCTCTGAACCGATTTTCACGAAACTTAGCAAGCATCATTCTGGACCTAATTCAGTAAACTATGCCAAATTTCGTGCAAATCGAAAGATATATAGGCACTTTGTAGCCCCATTTACCTTAGGTCGGACGAAAATATATATGGGAGCTATATCTAAATCTGAACTTATTTTCCGGAAACTTAAGACACATCATTCTAGACCCTATTCATTACGCTGTGTCAAGTTTCGTGCAAATCGCAAGATATATAGGGACTTGGGTGCACCATTTACCTTAAATCGGACGAAACTATATCTAAATCTGAACCGATTTTCTCGAAACTTGGCACACATCATTCTGGACCTAATTCAGTACTCTAAGCCAAATTTCGTGCAAATCGACAGATATATAGGGACTTTGGTACACCATTTACCTTAAATTGGACGAAAATTTTCCCGAAACTTGGCACACATCATTCTGGTCCTAATTCAGTACTCTGTGCCAAATTTGGGAGCTATATCAAAATCTGAACCGATATTTCCCCTTTTCAATAGGGTTCGTCCTTGGGCCAAACAAATGAGCTTTGCCAAATTTCATCTAAATCGCAATATAAATGCGACCTGTGCTTTGTTTACAATTTAACACCAACAGAAGGACGGACATGCATAAATCGACTCAGAAAGTGATTCTATGCATATTCTCAAAAGGAACTATGGTTCTATCTCGTTTCCTTTTGCCTGTTATAAACATATGCACAAAGACATAATACCCTGTACCACAGTGGGGTGAGGGGTATAAAAATGGTGCCCAAAAAATGTATACTAACGCATCAATTGAGAACGGCTGGTCCGATTGGACTCAAAATTTCTTTCAGTTGTCGGTAATTAGACTGGGGAGGTTTTTATGAAAGAAAATTGTTAGAAAAGTCCGCTAAGATCTTGCAAAACTTATTTTAAAGAAACGACTGGACCCATTTGACTTAAAGTTTCTGTTAGTAGTCTGTAATTGAATTTGAAAGATTTTAATGACAGAACATTTTGAGAAAAATCCGCGAAAATTTTGCAAAATATATTTTGAAAGATATTAGTATGTCCACACATTTTATATCAAACCTTTATGATTTCGTCTCTTCGTAAATCTTCTTGAACATATTTTGGGCGAAAATATTTTTAAGTAATTGTCATTTATGGAAAATTCTCAAAATATGTGTATTTTCTACAATTGGATTGTCATTGCCTTGAAAAAAAAAACTATTGTATATGAAAATAAATTCATATTTTCATTAGAGTTAAATTTAATAAGAAACCGAAAAGAGAGAGTAAGATTTATCGCTATTATTATTTGCTCGCGTTTTCCATAAAATCAAGATTTATTTAGTTTGAAAATATAAGTCATGTTATGTGAAGCATTTTGCATGGTATGTATTGGATGTGAAAATGTTCTCAAATAAAACACAGTAAGACATGGTAAATTAATGATTAAGCGGTTTCTCTATGTGGTGCCTATACAAAACCTATACCGGCAATTTTAAGGGAAGTTTCTCACCATATGGGGAATACCGAATTAAATTAGACAGTTAGACATGAACAGTATTTTATCCTAATTAAGAATACGTCATTAATGGACAAATTAGAAAATGTCAAAAGATTGGGATGTATCAAAAATGTTTGGTAGAATAAGTTTAACCGATTAATGTACTGAAATACCACACACATACTCAAATGTATTTTCGATAACTTCCTTATTATTTACCAACCCTATATTGATGCTATTTCGATAAGGCAAAACAACGTTTGCCGGGTCAGCTAGTTTTATATATTATATTTATTAAAATTTTATTTTATTATTTTCATTCTTTTTCCGACATTTTTCCTGCTTATGTTCTTGTGTACATTGTTCGCAGTAAGGCGAAAAATTTATAAGACAGCTGCATTATCTGTAAAGAGAAAATAAATACTAGTCTAAACTTAAAGTAAATATTTAAAATGTATATACCTCAGTCATAGTTCCCCGAGAGATGAGCACCAATGTTGTAGCCCTCAGTTGCACGGGTTTTTGGGCACGTTCTGCCATTAATATTAACATTTTCTGATAACGTACATCGGCAATGGACCAATTTTGATTGTAAACGGCATCGGCTACATTTAAACTCTTTGAAGGAAAAGAAAATATTATATAACATTGTTAACAGTTTTCTGAGAAAACATGTTCCGTTGGATATAATAGTCAAAATAAATATATTAAGAAGAAAAATCTTATGGAGTTCGGCCGGCTCTTTTTTACCTTCCAACATAGGGGGCAAAGCCTGTCGGCCCCTTTATATGTAATTGTAAAATGTCTGCCAGGATCTGGGAAAGCCAAATACAAAATTAAAGCAATAAAGTAGGAAATTTCGTAATGCCAATTTGGTAGAAAAATGCGAATAAAATCTTTAATCTTTATGATCAAGAATTTATTCTAATACACCTCATTGCGAGGTGTTGCAAACGGTGTGTTTTATACTATACAAATTTGAACCACTACTTGATGATGTTAATACGAATCTAATGTTTACTAAAGATATTTTTTAGACCACTGTATTAAATACGAATTTGATGAACATTATTAACTAATTAAAACTTCATGTTTGAAATAAGTACCTATGTATGTGTTTTGGAATAAGTTTGTAATTAAAAGTAGTTTCCATACTACTGGCTTTGTTCGTTAAACATAATTAGTTGCTGAATGTTTTAATTGAAAGCATTACAAATTTCTAATAAAACATTTTGGGGTGTCGCCTTAAATACCAAATTGATGTTTTGAAAAATGTTGAAATTCTTAAGAAACATTAATATACCTTGAAAATATTCTTTACTGGCATCTCTAGTGGGGAATTATGAATGACTTTATTATTAAATGTTTCAATTAAAAAAGTTTTATTCGGGTCAACAAAATTATGTTTTTAGAAGAAAAAGAAAAAAATTAAGGAACTATGAAAGGGGAAAGTTAAATCAAATTTGGACGCAATCGAGAATAGTTTACATTCGGAGAATATACCTGAATACCGAGAAGAAACATTTAAGGTTAATTAATAATGGCTAATTGAAACTCTATTATCACTACTTTATTCCGAAGATAGTATGAAGAAGATGTATCCTTGAACATTTCTTCCGCCCATATGATATAGCATAAACATCTGGTCATGAAAAAGGTTTGTTATTTTTGAACCCTACACAAAAAAGGCTCATATCGTGGACCAACTTTATGAGAGATGTAAATACTTTCGTGAGTTATGGCGCACGTCAGCCGGAAAGACGGACGTTTTAATTCCGATACTTAAAACTCTGGATTTGTCCAAAAAAACACATTACATATACGCCGTCATTAGTCAGAGTGCAGCTGCAACAGCTTAATTTTTTACCATAAGAATCATTGAAAACCAGTAAGGAAAGTAGTAAAGTCGGACGGGGCCGACTATATGATACCCTTCACCACTATGGGTATATTAAACAGGACTATTAGCATGAAATTGGATGAAATAAAATATGTGATATTTATCTAAATGTTAATCTACGTAGATCTATCCATAAAGTATGTAAATCGACTTCAAACAAATATAAATGGGT